GTGTGTGTGTGTGTGTGTGTGTGTGTGTGTGTGTGAGACTCAGGTTTCCTGTCTTTGAACCTGGAATGCTTTTCCTGCAATATTCAGAGGCAGGTAGAGATGTTCCTCAACCCCAGGAAATCATAAATAGATTAGTATGGATGGAGATGATGAGTGTTGCAGGAGACAGCATTTGAAAAGACTCTTACATATTGTGTGTAGATACGTAAGCTGTGCTAGCATTTTGTAATAAAATGGACTAGAGTTTCCCCAAAAGATGGCTAGATCAAATGCTGCCAAGAAGTATGGCAACAGGATGACTGCGATCTTAAGGAAAGCAGTTCTGGTTGAGCAGTTTCTAGGAGTGGAGTGCTTCAGTGTGTGATTTAAAATGAGGAGGTAGAGATGCATGTATGGAAAATAACTTAAGAAATCGCCTTCTGAAAGGGAACAAAACTATTTGGAAGCTATAGGGATGATTAGGATCAAGTAAGATGGAGAGTTGTGATGTTGTTCTTTATTTTGCTTTTCTTTGCTTTCATTCCAAATTTCTGGAAAATTATACCGGGCTCATATGAATGACTGACTAGGTTGTGTGTGTGGGAGGAAAGCACAGGAGCAAGGACACATTTCCCTTTTAACAGGAAGATAGGTAAAGAAGGTAAATATAAGTGTAAGTAGGTTTGGAGAGTTCATGGTACAAAAATAACAAAGTTCCTCACTGATGACTACTATTTTCACAGCAAATCAGAGGGGGGACCTCCCCACAAATAGAATTTATTTATTAAAAATTGCATACTTATCCTTACATGTTTAAACTTCAGTAACTACTCTCCATTTGATGCAATATACCTATCAAGACATTTTTCTCCACTGCTCTAAACAGTTTTTGAACTTGGTGATTTTGATGCCTTTTAGTCTTGTGCTGTTGCATTTCTTCCACTTCAGCAAAATGTTTCCTTTTGAGTGTTTTTAATAGGAGACAAAAAACATGGCTCAGGGAAACATTAGGTGAATAGAGAGAGTGGGACATGGGGGGCATGCCACTTTTTGGACAAAAACTTCTGAATACTCAGCCTGATATGGGCAGGTGAACACCTAAATTACCCATCATGAAATGGGCACACATGTTGAAAAAGCCTTCCAGTAGTGGGAGAAGCCTGTACTTAAGGGTCCTGCCCTCCAGAAAATAATTCTAGTTTTTTAGGTTCCTTGTTGCATACCAGCTAAGAGTCACAAAAGAACAAAACTTTTGAGGATTTAGAAGAAAGAGGTGAAGTTAAAAACAATCATGTTAATGTTAGGAACTAAAATTAACTAAGGAAGTAATGCGATGCTTGACTATTGGCATTGAACAAAGTCTGTCTGGAAAAAGCCCAACCATTGTCAACATAATGAGAATGTACTGGGTTTGTAACCTGTACATTGATGTAACCTGGCAGCCAAAGAGAGTGAACTGGAATGTATATGCATGAATAGTGATGACTTCACTGTACCAGTCAGTGGGGGTGGTAGACACCTTTGAGTGAACATGTGTATTGTGTGGCCATCACATTCAAAATAATTGAGTGAGTAAAGCAACGAATCTGCATCATATTTAATGTTAAGTTTGAGCATTCCTCCGCAGAAACTATTAGGATGATACAAAAGGCCACAGCTATGCAACTGTGTTTTTTGCATCTCATGCAAAAACACTCATGTATCATGTTTTTTGGTGAAATAGCAAATCACCCAGGTGACTCAAGCTCTCTATAACCCAGATTCATCACTCCGTGACTTCTGATTTTCCCAAAACTAAAATCACCTTTGAAAGGGAAGAGATATCAGACTGTCAGTGAGATTCAGGAAAATACAACAGGGTCGCTAATGTATAGGGAGAACTGTGTGAGGTTCCAAGGTGCCTACTTTGAGAGGACTGAGGACTCATTGTCCTGTGTACAATGTTTCTTGAATCTCGTATCTTCTTCAATCAGCATCTCTTTTTCACAGTACATGGCTGGACACTTTCTGGACAGACATTCGTGTGTCCCATTTGAATTTGGGACTGTGATATGAAGGCAATGAAAATTTGTGGTTTTGTGGTATTTTTATTGGATAACATTGAATCCCACAGTTTTCCTCTCTGTATCTCTGTGTGGATTTCTGTAGCTAACCTCAAATTTAAAAAATTCTTTAAACATAATCATTATCTTCCCACAAACACATTTCATGTCTAGTATTTTCTATCTCAGAAAACAGCAGCAGTATATCTGTATGGTTTAAGGCAAACACTTCAGAGTCATTCTTAAAATCTCTTATTCATCTGACCCATTAAATAGACCATAAAATCTTGTTCATTTCACTTCATGCTTGTCTCCTGATTTCACCTACTCTCGTCTATGACCATTGGAACCATGCTGGTAATGCAAGAGTCCCTTTTGGAATTAATACAGTAGAAAAAGGTGCCAATTGCCTCCATCCATGCCCCTCTTCAATCTGTTACCCATGCTGCTGGTAAATGATTTCTTTAAAACCACTTCGATCTTATTATTCCCTACTTATATCTTTGTAATGACCTGCCTTTATTCATCAATTAAAGTTCCAAATAATAACAATCATAAGGTGTTTTTGACCTGGTTTCTCCTTTCCTGTCCAACTTTATCTCTGCCACTTTAGTCCTGCTCTCTGCCTGATCAATTATTTAGCGTCCCCCATCACCCTATTTATTCTCCACCTCTTTCAATCCTTTGAAAAGATTCTTCCCTCTAAGGCACTGCAACACTCCTCTTCAACTGGATGATATTAGTATTCTTTTATAACTCAGTAGAAATTCAGCTTCCTTAGAAAAGTCTTCTTTGATATTCCAGTCTAAGTTAGATGTTTCCCTGGTCAGTGTGGTTCAGTTGGTTGGAGTATCATCCCAAACACCGAAAGGTTTCAGGTGCGATTCCTGGTCAGGGCATGTGCCTTGATTTGTAATCAGTCCAGGCACATACAATCCTCAGTCCAGCATGTACGGAAAGCAACCAATTGATGCTTCTCTCTCACAATGAATTGATGATTCTTCTCTCTCTTTTGTTATCTTTTGAAAAGCTATGAAAAAATGTTTTCAGGTGAGGATTTTAAAAAAGTAGATTCTGATGTTCAATCTCATAGCTGTCTTTTGTAGCATAATGATATTTGAAATTATTTACAAAATACCTTTTAGACTCATGAAGGCAGGGTCATTTCTATCTTGTTTATCTCTGTAACTCAGTAGCAGGTAAAATTTCTGGCTTAACACACCTGCTGAAAGAATTCTGTGAGACTATTGAACAGAAAGATGCATGTATCGTCTTTTTTATTTATGTTTATATTATTTCCAGTTTCCACAGTTCCCACGAAGGGCTGGTTGAATAGCAACTTTACACGTGATACCATGCAAAGTCCTTAAGTTAAAAGGCACTCATTAAAAAGAAATGTCTTCTGCCTCATGAATGATAAATGAATTTCAAATATGCAGAATGAGTGGATTGGCACTTCACATCTTTGAAAGCAAATAGTGTTTAACTTGGGAATAAAAGGATAAAAGAAAAAAATTGGATAAACTTAGCTAAGGCTGGTCTGGCTGGTACAGCAATCCTATTATAAAAAATAATATTTTAAATATTTTCCTAATCACCTAATGTCAAGAATGCTCTTAATACTATAAAAAAGCTCTTATCTTTCTTCACACTCTCTCTAAATTTGTGAGAGCATTAAGGCTTTACTATCACTATAATTAGATCTACAGAGAAAAGTACCTTCTCAATTTTGTCAGGTCCTGATTATTCATAGTGATGGTAGAACACCTTTGCGTGGATTACTAAAATCCCAGATCATTTATAGCACACGAAATTTAGCTCTAATTCATCGAGTCTATCAAATATTTTTATTGAAATGCAAGTTTACTTACTTCAGCACTCATTTATTCATGAATAAATGTTCTTAAATATATATACAGTGAATTTTAAGAACAGAAAAATATAAGTGGTTATTATATTTATGTAAACTAAGCCTTAAAAAGTAATCAAACCTTTAGCTAGGTTTCCATTGGCCTTCAATTGGCTCACACTGGGCAATTGGAATATTGAAGTCTGACTTCATTAGCTCATGAGGAGAAAGAAAGACATAGAGCTTAGGAAATGAACAGGATAAAAAACTTTACTTCATTAGCACTTATTTACCTGAAAACCAACTTAGAAATGTTAACAAAAATGTCATAGAACATTTCTTTTATGTGATTCTAAATAGTTCAGTCACAAACTTCATTCCATGCCATTCATTCATTTGAGCGTTACGTAACAATTTATGAATATATACTGCAATCACACACTGTGATGGGTATTGTGAATTTAAAATGAAATGAGACACATTTTTATCTTTTATAGAAAATTCTAAGTAATTTAAGTTTGACCAATATTAGAATAGCTGTATGTTAAAAAATATCCCAAGTGCAGTGAAAGGTTAAAAAAAAGGCCTAAAATCTAACTCCTTCTGAAATCAACATAATGTGGAAAATGCACCAGCTCATTCATGCATACCCCCAATCTAACAGAACTTCAAAGACTTTAGTACCTTCTAATTAATTAATTAAATGACAAATTTTGATCACTTACTGTGTACCATACCATTTTATGAACATAGTAGAAAATTTGCATTTGTTCAACATAAGATGTATTACAGGAAATGAACATTATATTCAAAGCACTGCTTCAGTTTTAAATACAAATAAGTTTTTGCTACATTTTATAATATAATTCATTATAGGCTCCTGGAGCATAAAAACCATTAAATATACATAACAGTTCAAATGTCTTTAATTATAAAAACTTAAATATTTGTTTATCTGAATGAATAGCCTGGTGTTTGTGATTCAGAAGCTTTTGAAACAAAAATTGAAACTAATGCAAAGATTGTGTTATATGTAATCTGTGTGTGCTAGTCAAAATAATGACATTACTCACAGAACAAACACCGCATCTGTTGCAGGGAAAAGCTTAGTCTCTTATTTCTTTTGACAGTGTGCAGACCTGGGTTCTTCAAAGCCTCACCTCACAGCCAGAGCTGCAGCAAATGTCCACCTCACAGTTACACCCATGAGGAAGCTTCAACCTCTTGTGTCTGTGAAAAGGATTATTTCAGGAGGGAGTCTGATCCACCCACAATGGCATGCACAAGTAAGAAAACCCACGAATATTGGTGATGCTAACTCTCACCATTTTGTAGAAATCCTGGTGGAGCCTGTTCCATTCTATTACCATTCCCCCTAAAACAGGCATAATGCTTAACTTTCCAATAAAAAATTTTCATCATATTTCAGTCTTCTTGAGTGAGCACTGAACAAATTGAAGGATTTTTTATCACTCACTGTGAGAATCATCCATTTTCCCTAATTTCAAATTCAACACCTAAGACACATAGACATTTTACTTTTATTTTTAGTTCTTTTAGTGTTCATGGTAGCCAAACATAATTTTAATCAATCCATTTCCCTGTTCATGGTAAATTTTCTTCTTCTTCCAAGACAGCTTTCTAATCACATAAACATGCAGTCAATGACACTTTCACCACTGTTTGGACTTAACTCTACTAAGCTGTAGAAGCCAATGTGTAGGTCATTACAATAGAAGACAAGACATTACAAGAACATAGGAAACTGGAGGTTGGCAAATCTGATCAAGTATGAAATATAAAAACAATTTTAGGTAGGATTTTCAAGCAGTTGCCATGTTTTTTTTTATGAGTGAGTGTCCTTAACTATTATTAATCATATGACCATATAATTGTATAACTAAAGTACTGAATATTAAACACCTAATTTCAACATTTATAGTGAATGTATTCACATCCATTAATGTTTTCACTGCTTTGTTCTTCTAGTGTTTAATATATTTCTGGGAAGGGAACAAATTTATGTATTTGTTTCATGATAATACTTTCATATTTTTTACACATCCATGGCCTCTATAGCAAATAAAAAAAAACTAACTAAAAGAGAAGAAAAGTGGATCTCTTTTCCCTCTAACAGTCAATTGTCATGACCTGCTTTGTTTGATGATTTTAGATTCCATTGCATTGTGGTTGCTCTCAGAGGTGATGACAGATTTTTTAAACTTAGTATTTATTAGTATTAAATATAAAGAGACATATAATTCCTTAAATTAAATAAACACTAATTGAAATTTTATCTGAATTTCAGTGTTTGAATTTCATAGTGTCAGTGAAACATTCTTATAGATTTCAATGTTTTATATTGACTGGCTTTACATTGGTGTAGATCATTATTTTATCATAAGATAATTTTATGGGTTAAGTGATTACTAATTATAAACAATTTCTCTTCAAATGGGTAAATACCATTATTATATATACTTTTGGGAGAATACATGTGAATACAGGAGAGAAACTATGATTGAATATGATGTGTTTTGGCTATACTGGAGAGAGATTATTTTGATTATTCAGAGCAAAAGAATGCCCAAGTAATGGGGGACATTTTGGGTATACAATAGCAGAATTGTAAATTAGGGAGAGAAAATTGTGTCTTGAAGTACTTTTAAAATTCATTGATATCTAATTACCTAATTATTATTTTTAATGGTCCAACCATGATCTTTCTCTTTCTTAGCATTAGTGTGAGCCCCCCTTTCTGTAAGTTTGGTAGATCTGGGAATGAAGAGAGCCTGTGGTCAGGAGGCAAGGGCTCCTTAGCACTCTTGTAGGACCCGAGGCTTCTTACTTTGTCTGCAGGTGTGTGAATTTCTAATGCTATCTTAAAAGAACACTATTTTGTATGCATTTCTTTAAAATGATGTGCAGAAAATCTAATACATTATCTGTGAGTGTGCAGGTTATCTTTTTAGTTGCATCCATACCACCACAAATACTGCATATGATACCCTTGAAAAGTTGGCTTGATTTATGTTCAGAGGAAAATCTTTAATTTTTGTTTTATATTCGTTTTTTGGGATTAAATTTATGTTTCTTCCACATTTTAATATTTTTGATATATATATCTTGTAAAACACAATAACCTAAAGGAAAAAGAAAAATCAAAGAATAATAAAGCATCTAATGAATCTTCTTATGTTGAGAGTACTTCTCACAGTTTTACTTTAGTTCATACATCACATCTGTAAGTGGGCAGTGAAATTTCAGCATATTATTGTTGTTATTTTTAGGTGCAAATCTGTACAAGTCTCCACTTTTTATTTCTACTTTAAGGTTTTACTTATTTGAGTTTTATTTCTACTTTAAATTTGAGTTTCATATGAGCCCTTGCCCAAATGTTGAGGGGCTGTGAGTTGCAGAGTCAGAAGAAAAGAGTGAGTTTGCCCCATTTTTACAGATTGAGAGCAAAGGGGTTACATGCAGGTATATTTTAGCTGGCAGAAAAATCCTAGAAGTGCTGTATCTTTCTGAACTAGACATATTTCAGGTATGTTTTACCATGTTATTGGTTTCTTTCTAAGAAAAAAACCAATTTTGACCTCAAATTACATTTTCTCCATAAGTTTCCACAATTAAATAAGGCAAACATTATAAAAATGATATTTATGTTTCCATCTTAAGTACTTATTTCAACTTAAAAGTGACTGTTCTATATTGAAGTGTGTAAAGTTGTATGTATGGACAAATTCACAGGATTCAACCATAAATACAGCTGAGGTGGGGACTGTTTTGTCAAAAATGGCAACTCTGTGGTTATGAAGTCTTTTAATTTAAATGATAATTTTTAAATACAAGCTAGCTTTCCTATCATTTTCAAATAGAGTCCTCAGCAGTCATGGCTTAATCAAGTTTAGCTAGAAATTAATGTTAACCCTTATATTAAGAACAAACCATGCATATAAATATAACTAAGCTATGCTATCTTAAATTTGTTTGATCTTTGCTGATGAACCAGTCCACTACTACCACAACTTATTTTATTCTCTGCGAGGAAACTTTTGTTAATTAGGTCTAAAACAAATATACATTTGAGAACATTTGATCACATAACATTAACAGCTGACTGAAATTTTAAGTCTAAGCATTCAAAAACCGACTATAATTTTAGATATTATACAGTCATTTTTTAAAGACTGCTTTTAAGAACAGTTTTTTTTCCACAGGAAAACTCAGAAGGATTCAAAGATTTGCCTTACAGTCCTTGCCAACACACATGCACAGCCTTCTGCATTGTTAATATCTCCCACCAGAGGGGAATGCTTATTGCAATTATATGTAATCAACTTCAGTTCTCGTTAGAGTGCTAATTGTTAGTTTCAGGGATGTTTAAAGTAATATATACATAAATGCTATTTATTATTTATTTATAAAATTGTTCTGCTGATCTCTAAGGAATAGAATACTTTCATTTTTTTCACTGTAGAGATTTTGAATTATTTTAAAAATAAATTTTAGTTTCTCAATTAAGTAAAATTCATAATTTGCAGAAAGCCACCATCTTAAAACAATGTCAAAGTTTAGAGAAATAACTTTTTTAGAAATCATAATATTGACCATTTACTTGAATTCTAGCATTTTCTTGACATATGAGGGAGGGTTTCAGATTCTGTTGTTGATTTATGAGTAGATAGGCAATCCATTTTGAGATAAGTTAAGGCTATTTTTACTTGCTGCAAATTTGTCATCAAGAGCCACACTAAAAAACCCATTTTTACTAGTTCTCATTGCTTAGGAATCCTTCATGCTTACTTCCTAGGTTTTAGGAACAATTATTAATCAAGAAGTAATTACTTTAATCTCAAGAAATATGTTTTCTTGAATTTGATAAAGGATTTGTCCTTTTAAAATATGTAACTTTATCTAACATTATTTTTGCATATATAGTTTTACTCCACAATTATTTACATATGCACAAAGCAAAATATCGGCTTTAACTTAAATAGTGTTACAACAATTTCGATATAAGTCATTTCTATAGGATATGTATTCCACTATTGTCCCTACAAAACCATAGTGAGATTGTTCAAAGAGTATTACAAATGATGACTCTTTGATTCTCCCTACTTAAGAAATAAATTGCAAACCTTTATTTTTCCCCCTCAGACTGGGGATTTGTGTAGTAGTTACCTGATTTTATCATCTTAAAATATGTTTTTCTCACTTTACTTTGCAAACCAGGACCCCCCTCAGCTCCGCGGAATGCCATCTCAAATGTTAATGAAACTAGTGTCTTTCTGGAATGGATTCCTCCTGCTGACACTGGTGGAAGGAAAGATGTGTCATATTATATTGCATGCAAGAAGTGCATCTCCCATGCAGGTGTGTGTGACGAGTGTGGAGGTCATGTCAGGTACCTGCCCCAGCAAATCGGCCTGAAAAATACCTCTGTCATGATGGTGGATCTGCTCGCTCACACAAACTATACCTTTGAGATTGAGGCAGTGAATGGAGTGTCCGACTTGAGCCCAGGAGCCCGGCAGTATGTGTCTGTAAATGTAACCACAAATCAAGCAGGTAAGTGTGATGTCCAACCAAACACGTACCTTAGTCCATGCTCTGCCAAAGGTCTCCACAGCTGAGGGCTTTGTTGCCTGAGATCTGTGAGAGAACATCTCATGAATCAGAAGGTTAGGACTGGATGTAGACTACATGTCAACATGTGTTTTTCAGTTTTAAACAAATAAAGGCTAAGGCTTTCTTAGCAGACACATTCAACAACAGACAAAAAATATGTTTTAATTGAATTTTTCATTAAAAGTATTTGAACTACAGTAAAAAGTTTTGAAAAAAAACTAGACATCAAAGCAAATAAAACATAATTATCTAAGTTAAAAACACATTTCTGGATCAGATGCACTTATAGAAAATTTTTATCTTAATTTAATGTAGTGCAATTATTGTAGTTCAATCTATATTTTTGTTGTTTTGTTTATTTCAAAGTTTAATTTATTATTTTAGTATTTAATCTGGCCAGTTTTGTTTGCTTGATTGCTCATTTGTTTGGCACCACAGATAAGGTATCTTTGCAAATTGAAAAATTCTCATTATTTTAAAAATTATAACAAGGATGCATGAAATTAATTTTCTTTGATAAATCTACTTATCAAAATTAGCATAATTATGAGCTATCTACAACCACATGAAAACACATCTATCTTCCACATGAAGATCTTGAAATTATGAGGTGGTAATTATCAAAGAGTAGACAATACTGTTGTTTGAGATACTAACTTCATATATTTTCCCCTCAAATACTCAAAACAAATTTTAAATAAATCAATACACAAAGCTTATTTTCTGGTAAAATAGAATTAAAGGTAAACTATAGCTGACTAATTAACCTACTATGCAGTAATAATCATTTAAAGACTCTAAGTCATTTATAACCATTTTTGCCAGCTATAGATACTTTGCCAATACCAGATACTTTTTGCCAACAAAAGGTATCTGATTGGGGAAGACATAAAAAGCCAAAAAATTGTAAATTCCCTCTATTCCCTGGGCACAATTCCCAGTCGAAGGGCGTAAGCTTGTCACCTCATTAGTATTGCAGGTAGACTTTTGTCTGTTTGGACATCCTTCCCAGAGTACTCAGTGAAATAGGATGTGCTCGAATGGAATCAGACTTAGTCATATAATATTAGTATAAGATTGTAGTTTGTGGAATGACTGAATTGACAAGAGAATGATTATGGGAATCAAGTCTTGAGCAAAATAATTTGAATTATTGGATATATACAGACAATCAATTGGCTTTCACTTAAGAGTAGAAAATGCATGCAGTTAAATTCATAGTTTCTTCTGATTGAAAAAAAAACTCAGGGAAACATTTGGCAGTGTCTAGACAATACAAAGGCGTTTGAGCAATTCACTAAGAAACAATCTACACGTCCTAGATGTTTAATCCATGTTCAAAGAAGTTCACAAACTATTTTTTACTTCATTGGGGAAAACATTGCACATAAATAGGCTGCATTTCTCAGTGAATTTATATTTTTTCTCCATCTACTCTTTATCTCAAGGTAGAATCTTAAAAAAGGCTGAAGAGATGGATAGGAATAGTGAAAATTAAGTTTTTCTTCAGTATAGTCTCAGCTCCTGGCAATACTGGTATATGTCAATTTCTTATCACAATAAATAAATGTTACAAGTGTTCAGTAAGTGTGAACCGTTTTCACACATCAGAAATACACTGACTTTAAACATGGGATTTCCGGCTTCTTGTATAACATCTCTACTTGGCTCAGTTGTGGAATCTTCCATTCACATATTGAAAGCACATAGAACAATCACTAACAATTATAATATTTTGGGAGAATATTCTCTTTCCTGCACAATCTTAACTCCTTTAAAGCTAAAAGTGATATTTCTCTGATGAACTAAATGTAGGAGGTGACAGCTTATTTTTTAAAATGATATGCTGAACAAATATTTGCTCTAGTTTTTTGACTTGCTGGACTGTTCAAACTGTAAAGTTTGTTTTTTAGAACTCTAATACCTAAAGTACTAAGAAAAAAGAATTTTCGTCAGACTGTCCAAGACATATTATTATGTAAAACAAACACTTGTATTCAGGGAAGGAATTTTGTTGACTTTCACTTTTTTTCCAATTCCTCAGAGTATATACAAACTTACCCAAAAAATCAAAATGAGGAGATTTTTCTTAGTATCTGTCAGTCTAGACCAACTAAGTTTAAATTTCCACAAAAATTTTTGACTTCAAGAAACTCCTAAAAAGTTTTAGATTTAAAGTTACCTTTGCTAGACCTTTATCAAGTACCAACATTATATTAAAGTGGTCAGTGATAATTAGTTTCTAATGCCTGAATATTTTAAAGCATTACATTGAAGAAATGTGAATTTTATAAAAAACCTCTTTCAGCAGATTTTAACTTTGGTTTCAATTTCCTCTAAGGATTTTTTTGAGATATGCATTTCTTTATTGATTTGTTTCAAATTTGTAATCTGTTGCCATTTTCTTATTAACTTGGTTTTATGACATCAATGCACATATAAACTTCAGATTTGTAGTTATATTTGGAAAATACAAGAAAAATAATACCTTCTTATACTTGAGAATATTTCATTGCTTATTTTATTTTACATTTTAAATTTAATTTTTAAAGTTTTCATTTACAGTTTATATTCAATATTATTTAATGTTATTCTGTATTAGTTTCAGATGGACAGCAAAATGGTTAGAAAATCATTCATTAGATGACTAGACATCAAATTATTTAGATAACAACACTTCTGTTCTTCCATTTTATACTTTTAGGGTTTCTAAAATATATCTGTTTCAGATAGATGTATAGATGGATAAATAACAGATAGATAAATAGTGATATATCAATATATAGACTGCAAATTAAAAATCCATTGTCTGCAAATACTTTAAAGTTTTATCAGCTCACAAAATATATATTTATTATATGCTTCTGTAAAAAAACTTTAAAGTTTTTATTTAAAAATATTTTTGAAGTAGACATACTGTATCTAGCAAAAGTTTATAAAACTATTTTAATATACACATATATATTTTATCCCAAGTAAAAATAAGCACATACTAATAAAATATTAATGCTTTAATATACAAAGGTACAGAATCCTATTTGTGAGCTGTAATAGACCACATTTTAACTGTTTTGTGTTAGCTTTCGACTTTTGGACCCTTTCCTCAGAGGGCTAGTTTGACACGCTATGTATTGCAAAATGCAACAAAGACTTTGGAGGGGGATGTCCCAACTTGTCTCATCCTATCAGAATGACCACTGATATATGTGGTCCTTTTCTTTTGATGGGTTTTATTTCTTGGTTCTTGCAAAGGGGTGTGGCAGACAGGATCATCCCATCTAATCAGGTACTTTGAGTTTCATGTCATTCATGTTGTTGAACAGCATATTTCAGAGGATGTTGAGATGATCAGGATTACTGAAGACTAAATCAGGCTGGAGAGCTGGCAACTGAAGAGGATGCTGGGACAAAATGGTGAAAATACAGCATTGTTGTTGCCAAGGGGACCATAAACATTTTCTGGGGATCTCTGTTTATGGAGATGTTTAAAAATGCATTGTCACTCATTACACCAATACTATACTACAGTAACTATTGCAAGGGTCTTTGTAGATTTTCTTCAGTGGAGAAACCATACTGTCTGTGTTTGTAATCACCATGTCATTAAATGTATGGTTGCTTGCAAAGGTTCATTTAACTTCTACTTATATCGAACAGGTAATTGATATCTGGATGTGTTTATAATCTCCATTGTTTATCCTTCCATAATTTTTATGGCTACACTAATTGCTGCATTTTCCAGAGATACAACAAAAATTCACGTTTACTCTTTTGGTGGAATAAGATGTATTAAATTTCCATTCCTCCAACTTTATAGCCTATACTTCATGGGCCTTAGAAATAAGGAGATAGTTCTTCCAGTATCAGGGTAAATCTTCCAAATATGTGACTGTGACCTGGTAAAATGACCAAAGGCTAGAATGGAGGCAGCACTGTGCCAATTGTAATATGATCTCAGCACAAAATCTTATTAACCACATGACCCCACAGCCTCCATTCAAATCAAGATTTCTTAGTATTATTCTGGATCCACAAGAATTGGTGTTAGCTCAGAGGCGGTATTCAATGATGTCTGAAAGATCTGGGCATTGACTGCTATACATACTATATTTAGAAATGTCCAGAAATACCTTTTATAAAAAAGTTAAAAAGAAAAATAAGCATCATTTTATCCAGGTCAATTCATGCTGTTGCAAAGTGTAAGAGTGTCTTCTTTTTTATTGCTGCATAGTAACCCATTGTGTAACTGTACCACAGCTTTTTTCTCCACACGTCCAGTGATGGACACTTAGGCTTTTACTAAATCTTGGCTATTGTTAATAGCACTGCTATAAACATAAACGTGGTTTTGTATTGGTGTTTCAAGATATTTGGAGTATATTCCCGGAAGTGGAATTTCTGGGTCAAAAGGGAGTTCCACTTTTAATTTTTTGAGGGTACTTCAAATTATTTTCCACAATTGCTGTACCAGGGTGCATTCCCACCAACGGTGCACTAAGGTTCTCTTTTATTCAAATCCTCACCAATATTTGTTATTTGTTTTATTGATGGTAGCCATGATGACGGACATAAGGTGACAAGCATCTCATTGTGGTTTTAATTTGCCTCTCTCTGATGAATAGTGATGTTGTGATTTTTTTCACGTGTCTGTGGGTCCGCTCTCTCATATGCGGAATCTAATGAACACAATAAACTGATGAACAAAACAGTAGCAGGAACATAGATACATAAAACAGACTGACAGCTGCTGAAAATGGAGGGGGTGTGAAATATGGTGAAGGAATTTACCAAAGAACATTTACGTACAACCTATGGACATGGACAACAACATGAGGATTGACTTGGGGAGGGGGGAGAGTAGGGATGGATGGAGGTGGGGAAAGGGAGAAGAAGCAGGAACTATAACAGCATAAACAATAAAAAATTTAAAAAACTAAAAT